AAGCTATTTATAAATGGGATCAGACTCAAACACTGGAAAAAAAGGAGCAATACTAACAAAGCATTCTGTTTTCACATGTAAAACTGGATCTACAGTATAACAAATGTTGTGCGCGTAATGTTTGAAATTTGATGTTAATATTGTATTTACATTATTGCTATTACTACTACTATTGTTACTGATACAATGTGTCCCGCAATAATAATAACATTACGTAAATCACGCGAGTTGCACTTAGCAGAGGGAAATTGCTTGGGCTGCAAAAACCATAATCATAGAACCGAACCTATTTGTTTATACCACGTATTAACCTGCCCACGTTGACATTTGAATGGATGTATTGTCAGAAGAAAGACGGGTTCTAATTTATCCACGTAAGCGATGATTTACTAGCGTACCCGTCACACGTAATTACTTCCACTGCGATGCAATTTGCAGCAAATACGACTGTTTATAAGCCAACTCACTCTGTGCTGTGTCCCATCCATGGTTGAATCAATTAAAATGACGATTACATTATCCAGATACAGTACGGTATAATTACTATTACCCGTATTTTAACCTAATTTTATTAATGTCAAGTGATTATTATTTATTATCGTTTCAAAGCTTAACTGCTGTGCAGAAACAGAAGCTATGTAATGCGAACAATCCTTATGTATTTTCGTTAACTGTAGTAAAGCAGACAGTAATAGAGACTAAAAAAATGGCTATCATTCAGCTATGATGAAGAACTGACAACAGTCAGCGCCTTGTGCACAGCCGAATAACAATACCAATAAGCACTTAAATCAATTAGCAGAAAAATGTTTAGAATGTTCTACTATTCGACTATCCCGGTAACGAGCAACTAAAAAGTTTTATGACCCTTCAAAAATAGATCCTCATTTCTACCTATACCGATATAACATGATGACAACATTGATATTGATAGAACAATGTTACCACACGCGTATCAGGGTACGCCATCGTACACATCTGGCGCAATATGTTGTTGATTATCATCAATATACGTTTACGGTCAAAACTTTCCTCGTGGCAAGTCCATTGAACCAACTGGCAAATGGTGTGTGACAAGGACGAAAAAAAAATATACAGTATGGCCCATTGGGAATCCATAAAATACTTCAATTCACGAGGTATCTTATTCTATTAGTCTGGTAACAATACGTGTAATTCGAGATGTCTTTACACGAATGCGTTATCAGCCAAAATGAAAGCGCAAAATGGCATAGTATTCGTATGGCTTAAGAATTGAACACCCCAAGATAAAAAAATTTTAGAGTCACGTGCATGATTAGTATTCATTAAGTGGGATTGTACAGCATGCTGCATAAGCGGGATTGTTAGTACAAAGTAAACAAACTGTACGCATTTGAGCGACTGCTACACAGACAAATTAGCTGTGATGGGGGTACGCCACGGTATTGTGTTAATTGGTTCTATTTATTCACAATCAGAATTCAATCGCTATTCAGATTCCTGTGCGTCACAGCAAGGGAATTTGTCGTCTTATGGAACTTGGGGCAACATTTAACGACTCGATTATGTTATAAATAGGTTAACGCTTGATATTTTAAGTTATAAATCAACATTTAAATATTAATCAAACAAGAATCTGTGGCGATTAAAATTTTGCATTGTGGCTTACATTCCAAAAAGAGTGACCTAAATAAAGACTCCGCATAGAACAATTTCCTTATTCTCAAGAGTACACGAGAGCACAAAGATCCCTGACTCACGTGAAATGTGCATCAATATTGTAGCTACTACGCGCGTTGCCCCAAATTTTGGATTTGTTTAACATAGTCATAAAAAATCAAATGTCAGTGCCCAACGTGGATGGAGAGATAAGCTTTATGATTATTGACACCCAGATTATACATAAATGAGGCAACTGTGATCATGACAACAAACTACTTAATTATAGTTAGCAAAAGAACTGCATTACCCCCATCCCCTTACGATTGACTATTTAAATTAATGTAATCCGTGTCCAAACCCGCTTTTTTTCTTTTCAACTCGATAAGAATAAAAAAAGACCCCGGATACGACTTTCTTTAATCGTTCAGAATCATGCCGCCCCCCCACAAGGAGGAAACGGAAAGCTATATAAATATGCAAGGATCAGAAGATAATGAGATCATAGAAAAGGATGATCCGAGTACTGCTCAACAACATCGTCACAAACATTCACATCATCATCATCACCACCACATAAAGAAACCGGAAACTTATAGGGCAATATTAAAACATGCCTTGGCTGGTGGATTGCGTATGTTGTCACCGAGATAATGATAACTATGCATCGCATTACACAATCTTACCTTTTTTCGTATTGACCGTATAGGATCATATATATTGGGTCATTCTGCTCGTGGAGGTCTGAACTTTTTCTTACATCTTTTACTGGTATTCCGCAAGAGGTAATGTATAGGTCCCCTCCTCCTCCCTACGAATAAAAGAAGCAGGGCCCCCTGTTCTCCATCCCCATATCCTACGATAAACCCTCCAACTTTTACATCAAATCATGTATTCAACAAAATAACCTCTTTTCTCCCACTCACTCACTCTTCCCCAATAGACAATCGTCAGTTTTGGAGGCATTTCGTCGTGGTTTTTTCGGAACGGATGCGTTTCGTTTTGGCGTCGTCTTTGGTGGGTTTTCGTTTTTATGGAAGCTGATAAACAATAGTATGCGACTTGCTCGCGGAAAAGAAGATCATTGGAATGGGCTTGTCGCAGGTAAATCAATGATGCGTTGATTACATTACACGCTCACCTAATCCGTAATCTCAGACGTGCTGTTTCTGCCATATAGGATCAATTGCTGGACTTGCCATCATTGCAGAGAAACGAGAGAGAAGAATAACGCTCGCACAGCAAGTTTTTGTAAGGTTAATATTCGGGTCTTGTCAACCGAGGCTTTAGCATGACGTTTCGTATCTTAATTGCCGTTTATATTTGTATTTTTTCTATAGGGCATTACAAGGTGCTTATAATGCGGGCCATGCGCGCGAGTATTTCAACATTCCTCATGGTGACTCGTTGCTATTCATGGTAACCTGTGGTCAAGTTCTATACGCTTACACGGTAAATTGAATAATCGTTGCTGGCAAGCCCGTCATTTGTTTTTCCCCCCCGACTATCATCATGAGACAAACCACAAACTTTTTTTTTTTATTCAGTTGCAACCAGATACAATTCCGCAAGACTTTTTAAAGTTTATGATCCAAACAGCGCGTGTTCCCGCTAAAGCACTTCGATTCAATAGATTAAACGTTCGTGGACAACCATTAAATACGGCTGAGCTATTGGATTATGCGATAAAGCATAAAGCAACTCCTAAAGCTTTGGACGTTATATCAAAACTGCCTGCTCATCCACTGGCTATACCATGGTTGGTTATTTTATGCTTTTTCGTTTCCCTGCCTTGTTATAATGTAAAAAAAAAAAAAACACGGGCATTCACCGATATTTGTAATCACAGTTCACTCGTTCACCCACGTTTCGATTCCTGCAAATATACGATTGTCGAACGGTTTTACAAAGTCTTTAAAACGATTTTACCCGTATATGCGGCTTTAAATACCGTTTCTATGCTAGTATTGGGACTTAAACTCTTTATCAAAAAGTAATGTCACTCTTGGAATTCAGTTTCGTTTCTCAAAGTTTAGGTTGTCAATTCTAAAGTATCGCTTATTTTCCTTGTAGTCCCAAACATACTACCTACAAAGCCTCGTTCAACACTATACGTTCTTCGGTATTTCTTGCTATGTTCGTCACCGGTTATCAGACACAGGTGTGTCTTCACCGAAATCTTGTCAAAGCCGGACATAAGTGGCATTCAAAATATTTCTACTGGTGGTGGGGATTCATTACCAGTCTGTCTATCTTTATCGAAGACAGAAGACGACGCGTTGACTTGGCTTTATATGTATTACCAAAGGCTGCCGAGTCTTGGTATAAGATATTATACAGTAAGAACTGGATTTTCGAATTAAATCACTATGCAGACGTATGGTTTTTCTCAGCCGCTACAGGCGTTATAATGGTAAGTCAAAGTTTGATAAAGTTGCCAAGGAACAGCTCATTCGAAAACGAATATTGACTTTTATATTTTTTTGGTAGGCCTTTTATCAGCAAGAACCCGAAGTTCTTAGCCACATAGTAAAATCTGTACTACACAACTTTGTTGGAAAGAACTGATATCTGCGTAGTTTATATAAGTTTATGCAATATAGAGGAAGAGAAAGCTCAAGATATTTGTCAGTAGTTAAGCAACGCTAACTGTTAGCCCATTTGCAAATAACGCAGAAAATCAAGCGCTCTAGAAATAAAATTTCTGTATATATCATAATTACGTATCATGGGGCTTAAATCTGTCATGTCAACTCCACGTGAACACAAACATAAAGTAAAGTCCTGGCAGACGTGTAGTTTCCACTTTTGCAAAAAAAAATTTTCTCAGAGTACCATGTATTCATGGAACACCTGCAACATGGTATTCTTTCCATTCTTGAAATCTTGCTTCCTACACTGAGTAAATATCAATAGCGTCAAAAAAAAATCGAGTATTTTTGAGAGCGAGTTGCGAGAAACAAGAATATACCTTTGGGGATATTTTCAGGAGTGTCGGACATTTCCTCTACACGACGCTCACGAATAATCAAAACTGGACAAAATCTGTATGTATCATATTTAGTGATGTTTCAAGCAAACGAAAAAAAAGACTTGGCAAAAAAAAAAAAAAAGGAAACAGAAACAGAAACAGAAACAAACAAACGAACAAACAAGAATGATCGATCGCTTCGATGAAAAAAAAAAGAGCCAATTGATTGCGTTCCAGTCCGCCGGTATATATCGCTGTTAAGAATTGAGAGGCGAATTAGATATTCTTTTACGATACGGGTAGAATTTCTCCTTTATTAGTTCATAGATCAACCGGACGATAATTTATTCGCATTGACTCACCATCACAAACACGCCAAGTTTCATCATTATAATACAGGATTATCTAATGCTGGTTCCCAGAATGCCTATTAGATGTCGGCGTAATACAAGTTAGTACTTCACGTTATACCATCAAATCATTATATTGTTATTCCACCAAATATGTATTGTATGCTCTGTCAATCAAGTAACATTACAATGATATGCACTCACAATCGGTAAATGCATATACTATGTAATGACTCGTGTGGTTCAGAGCACCGGCATTTGTAATCAACCCTTTTTAGTTTTCGATCATTTCAAACCGCGAGTTTGTGTAAACTGAATAGTAAAATTAAAACTTGCGGGGAACATTGATCGGTATCGCGAAAATAAATGGAAAAGCGAAAATAATAGACAACTGCGAATAAAAAAGCAAAGATTGTTCCAATTTTTAAACACCAATCTCTTCGTAAGCCTAATTGTGAAATACTTACCAAGTCTGTGCATCCGCTGACCATCATCAGATACCTAGGATTAAATTTTACCACTTGAGATGGCTTGGTATGAGAATCTAATTGCTTCAGCGGACGTATGTCGATCGAAGCAAATGCCGGAGTAGGCGTCTGTATGTCCCATATGCTTATTACACCGTCCTGGGAGCCTGAGATATAGGATACGAATCGTGCAAATGTAATTTACATATTTTGAGTAAATAAAATGCATAGAGAAATGAAAACGCAAGCTAAATGCAGAAATTCGCATGGCCTAAAAACTTTCATGTCACGTCACGTCAACAATCTCATGTTCCTCTGTCACCCTCCTATATCCTCTCATTCACTCTCATCACTCTTCCAAACTTACCACCAATTACAAATCCGCCGTCTGGCGTAAACCCAGCATCGTCTCCGCCTAACCCTTCTGCAACGGCTCCCAAGCCGACATGCCCAACCAATCGCCTTCGCAGTTCACCGCTGAAAGCGTCAATCACGTAGTGCTGGTCCCCTCCAGTAGTGATAAGAATATTCTTTCCGTCGTTTGAGAACTTTAGAGATGTCCATGTTGGAGGCGCGATGTTTCTTTGGTAGGCTATGGCTGAGAAGAACGGATCTATTATTGTAAATGTTGAAAAGGGACCCTATGGGTTTAAAGGTGTTTGATGAGACGAAACAAAATCGCAGAAGTAAAATAAATCGGTAGTCTCGTGTGAGTATATTAAAGTTTATCGAAAGTTGTGTCTTTTGAGAGATGCATTGTAGAATGAATAGATGTTACCTTGTCAAAGTTCCGTAAATCGTACAAGCGCACTTTGTCAGCTACACCAAGCGCGAACACCAGTCCTTTATTATCGTAACCAACTGAAGGGCGACCTTTTACCCCCAAACAGCCCTATAATTAAGTCATGTCAGGCTGCTTTTACATTCAACTTTTTATATATGCACTCGAGCTAATATCTCTCCCTTCGTACCTGACAATGATGTGATCTAACATCATACAATCGAATGGAATCGTCAACACTTCCTGATAGGAATGTGTCGTCTACAGGTGACATTTCAAGTGTAACTACCCTTATTAGTGAATTAAGAATATTGATGAGCTTTCTTTTTGTTCAATGTATATCGCGAAATCGCGTAAACGGAACAAGAATGTTAAACATAATATAATAGTAATCTAGAGTTTTTCCTTACTGTGACTTGTGCCCAACGAAATACGAAATAAACTTGTTGTCATGTATCGAGAGATATCTTATAATGTCTATAAAATACAATTGTTGATGAAAAGCCAAGAGATGGAAATGACGAAAAAACACGGAATTGTATGAAATTTTTACCATTCTCTTTTGTGGACGCGTACAGGATAGCTTTGTTGCTATGAGTAAACCTTGTCAAATGAACACCATATTTCTTACTGTATAATAACTTTTTGTGACTGTAATTACGATTAACATCATCAGTTATACAACAGGACTGCAGTCAAGTCAATCGAATCCATTCGTAATTTAAACTCTTCTCGATCGCTCTTGATTTCCCTCCATTGCTCCTATCTTCATCGCCAACCCTTCCCATTCCTTCTTTTCATACTCACATTCCCGCTTTACAGTCATAAATGTTAATACACTCGTCCGCAGAGGCTGTTACACAATACACGCCAGTATCGTCGAAATCAAGAGCTGTCAGTGGCTTGGAGTTGTGTTGGAACAGTTTAGCCACTTTTAGTTGTTGCATACGTTGTGCAGTTGTTGCGTATTTGAGTTCAGACATGTTTTTTAAAATGCTATAATCGAAAGGGGGGAGAATGTAAAAGTTGAAGAATGTAAAGCATTATCATCACGTGATAAAGATTGTTGATGATTGGGGAAATCAAATAAAATTTGGCGCGTGACGCGCTTTCCATGCAGATCTTTTAATTTGCAATCGTATCATTAAAAAAAGGACCATGGACGGCATATTACAAGAGAAAACGTCAGAGATAGGGTGCTCACAAGAAAAATTGCCTAATGAGGAAGCAGTAGCTATGAATAGTGGGGAGGAAAGTAAGCGAGAATCTTGTCTCATCATCTTTTTTTATAAATGCATAATTGAGAGTAGAGAAGATCAATATATGTAGGGACCCTCATTAATTTAATAACCCAACACCAGAGAACCATTGGCAATATCTATTGCAACCTGACGTCATGCTCAAGACATTTTAATTGATCAGTACTCCGATTTTACTTCTTTTCCAATCATTGTTTCTATAGTTTCCCCACCTCCAAAAAACCCCGCCAACTGCTGCTCCATTGCGACCGATTCATTCGCAGAACTAGTCACACAGATGCGGAAAGAAATAGAACAAAGAATTGAACATGAGCGCAAAAGCCGTGCCATTCTCTGTGACCAACTTCTCCAACCGATCGTGGAAAAATACATGGAACAGATGAGACAAGGAGATCAAAGAACATCGTCATTACAAGAAAATGGCGATCCAACTTTGTAGTGGGCCAAAGAGTTCGCATCAGAAAGTTGGGGTAAATTGGAAAATGTGGGGGTGGATTAGTTTTGTGGGTTGGTCGGTATTTTTTTGGTTATTAATTGGGCAATCCTGTAAATATTTCATCAACGTTATCAGTGTTGTTGTTTAAGCTAGTTTGGAACATTTTGTTCTAGCCAAATCAAGTATATTCTTGTGTTTATGACTATGTATATCACGATGTCGTTTAGAGATCAGATCACTAAACCATATAACGCGAACTATTAATTACCATTTTAATCACAATGAGACTCAAGCATAGACCGTTTAATATTATGTACATGTCATATGATTAATGCGCTTTATTGTTTTGATAGTCATTTGTCAAACATTCAATCAATCAATCAATCAATCAATCATCTTCCATGGTCGGCATTAAACAATTCATCCACTCAGACCAGCCCTGCATGGCAGAAATGCATGAGCATGCTACCGAGAGAATTTACATATAAATCGTCTCCGTTCCCATCCTTTTCCTTTTTCTATTCACTTTACTTGACAACTCCTCATCAACCCCACAAAAAACATCTGAACGCGTCTAATCTCAAATATATACACCCTTTTCAATCCAACCACCCTTATTTTAATCGAAACAACTAACAACAACTCGCTAATAACTTGTTCTCATCGTCTTCCTGGTTGTATCTACATTTCAACATTTAATCAACCGCATACTCTCCACGCCCCCACCCTCTTCCAAAAGCACATTCTCTCTCCTTCCCCTACCGTTACTCCTAAACATGTCTGACGACAGCCAACCAGCCACCCCAACCACCCCAACCACCGCTCTTACTACCAATAAAATCACGAAAATTCTACGCGACATTTACGCGACTGGACGCGCGTCCGTTACAATTTCCTTCAGACCGGACTTTGAGATCACCCTGGGAGATAAATATGGTGAGGAAAATGATGTTGATAAAATCGAAGAGTCCGAGGGAAGTTCTATTGATAATGGCAAGGGAGATGAATTAAAGAGAGTTTTGGAAATGTTGGCAAATGAATGTGAACATGAGTGTGGTGAGTCTAGTAAGAAAACCAACATGGACGAAAACGAAGAGGGAACCGATAAAATAACTGAACAGTATAGAAATAGTGATAGGGAAAGTGATGGTACGGAAAGTGACAAAAGAAGCGTTAGAGAAGACGATGATGCTTCGGTTGAAACGATCACTGAAGATAACTGTAAGGGAAACAATGAAGCAAGTTACGAACATGACCAATATGACGATAACGATGAGGACGACGACGAAGATGAAGATGACATCATTTTCATCATCGAACCCACTATTAAAGGAAAAGGCATTGACTTCGTACCTGTTAGTCCGTCCAACATTCCCGCTGATGACACGAAAGAACACGTCACTCCTTCCACTTGCAGAGATTATACATCACCTATTAAAGAGGATCCTTTAATCACCAACATGCCTCACTGCACGAACGCCGACCTCAATGCCATCGAGCAGACGCAGGAAGATTCCTCACAACCCAAAGTTCACTCTGCGACTGCGTACAGCACTGATAATATTATCTCCGCTTTTACTGACCTTAACTTGTCGTTAACGAATACACCCCCTCTTGCCATTGTTGTGGAAGAACAAACCGCCGCCACTCACGCAGAGCAGATACCTGAAACCAACGTCGAGAGTGAACGTGACACGGAAGAAACGATGATAACTAACACCACGGCAACAAAGCACAACGAAAGTGCGCCATCTCAAGGTTTGGCATCTGCGTGTATGTTATCCAATACAATTATTGCTTGGAAGACGTGTCGTTGATATTTCGTACGTGCTTGGGCCATCCAAATTAACAAATATTATCGTGACAGGTTATACGCCAGGACCACAATATCAGCAGCCGGTAATAATTATTACCACCGAAGATAACACTGCGACCACTGACACCGACAAAGAAAGTATTGAAGGAACACAAATAATGGTTAAACCTACCGACCCTACTGAAACAAGTTCCATCGATTCAACATCGTCACTATACTTACCAAAAGCTAGCTCTGCCCAAACACTAGACGCAGTAGCTTTGGCAGTCAATAGAGGCAGTATAACCGAGAACCAGATGAATGAAAATAAGACGGCGACGCCATCAGACGGATCAAACACTCGCAATGTCAAGCCAATGATCAAACCACACCAGGAATACATACCCAACCAGGAAGTTCAGTCGAGTTCCAATCAGACCACAATTCTCGCGGAAGGCTCCGTTCCTCAAATCGCTCAACAACAAGAACAAGGATCCAGCTCAAAATCCCGCAGATCCAGTCCCAGGTTATCCACGACTACACCCCCACCTCTATCCTTCTTGACGTCGTCCCAAAAATCCGCGCTTGCTCTTCTTCTTGCAGATACCCTGCAATCTCGCGCGGTCCGGCCTTACTTTGATCTCGACTGCCTCGCTGACCCAGGATACGTAAAGCTCTCGTTGGTCCATGAATTCCGTCGCATGCGCGATCGTCACAGATCACGTCGTCAGCGTTTACGCTCAGCATTCCGATTCGGCGGCATCGCTGTATACCTTCGTCGCTATCGCGAATTGCTTTCTCCGAGCGAGCAGCGGCAATTGCTAAAGACGAGTTGGAAAGAATTGAAGGTGCAGCGAAGGTTTGGTATGAGAGTATTTGAGTTGTTCGAGGTGTTTGGAGAACAGGCCTTTGGAAAAGTCGGAGGGGATAGTATTGATTTTCTTGGCGATTTGACGCAGGGACAGTATAGAGAGTTGAGATTCTATGTTAGAGGAGTCGGTAGGGGATGGTTTAAGGCTGGCGGCGGTGGAAATAACGAAGAAAATGCGAGTGAGTGAATGGGTGAGCAGTGAAGGTTGAGAAAAGGAATGAAGCCGGAAACAAAACAAACAAGTGATTAAATACATGAGAGAGGATTAATTCAATTGGTTGATGTTATTACTACCTGACCTGGCTAGGTTCCTTTTCCGACTTGCTAGTCCCGCGTTAATGTTTAGAATAATCATGTAAGGGATACATTAACTAATGATAACACAAATAAACAACGTGATCCACGTAAATGCTTTGTTTCGCTTTTATTACACGTATATGTGTTTTTCATACAGTAATCAACTTACTCTTTGCGATCTAACTTTTTCACCCTACTCGGTCTTCCCAACTCTACCTCACCAGCATCCATTAGTCGTCTTTGCTTCCTTCTTCTTTGATTTCAATTTCTCTCACTTTCTTTCCATTCACTTTCTTTTTCTTTCTCTCTTCCTCAAGTACTTCTGGTATCCATTCCATAATCTCGCTTTCCTCAGTAATCACCTTCTTCACCTTTTCTCCCTGCTCCATCATCAGAGTCTCGATATTTGTTTTCGATTCGCGAAACCAGCCGAGGTTGTCAGCAATTAGATGACGATTTGCGCACGAGGCACATTGGATGATGACGACACCATGATCATAGGCTTGTTTAGACATGGTTTTTGCTTGTCGATGAGAACATACTTTGCATGTGAAGGAGATTAACAGGCGTGATGGTGGGGGTGAAGAAGAGGAAGAGGGTGAAGAGTAATATTTTAAAAAAGAGGAATGAAAGGCACGACAAGAATGGTATATAGGGAGATTGGAATGACTAGGATATGTGTGTCCACGGAGCTTATATTTGGATAAGATAGAAACGTTAGCCTCAATATGACTACAAATACAGAACGTTGAATTACATCTTAATACTCAGTCGTACATTTGGTGCAAGTCTTATATTTGCCGCTAAATGGGTCGCATTTAAGGATATAAGATGAAAACTTGGCTTATAACGCAAAAGATGTTTTCCTAATTCATACAATCTGGGAAACATATTCTGTCTTCTTTTCGCGTCATATGTAAGGATTTTTTCGCGGACGTTACTCTGACATTTCGTATTCTTGGTGATCGTATTTTTGTGTAACGGCAAATTTATAAGACTGTATTATTTCGGTCTCCGTCAACAACAGTAACGTGTCCTAATCGAGAAGCGTTTAAGAAAAAAAATTATTTACATAACAAGTTCTCTTGTAGCTTGAATGTTTGATTCACTATTACTGTGTATTTTATTAAATAGCTTCTAAAGCTGTTATTTAATATTAATATTGTCAAGTCATGCTTTCCCGCATCATGCCAGTCAACTCTATGAACACAAACACCCATATTCCATGCAGAACATAACTGACACAACTTATGATTATAAGATAGTTTGTTAAATAAATAATTACAATTTTCAACAATTTATTCTCCTAATATTAACATGACAAATGTCATTTTGTCAATATTAATAATGGCACTTCTCAATTTTATATCTATATAGAATTTGGTACCAAACTGCTTTCTATATTAACTCAATCTTTTCTCCTGACCCATTTCATAAAAGGTATATACCTTATTTGGTGCTTTACGATATCGCTGTTCAGCTGCACTTTCATGTAGCTCAGTGCCTTTTTAATATCCATTTCTACCCCAACTCCATTCTTATATACAGACCAAGAATATATCGTCTATAATTTCAGCTACTAATTGACACAAACTAGTTCCTGAATTAATTCCAAAACTTAATCCTGCCACTTTACTATAACTGTAATAATAAGGATAAATGTCAGGCCGAAAGCAGTTTTATTTGAACTAATTCTTTTTATAATCGACTCTTTGAAGTTTTGTACAATAAAAATGGCGTATACGAGTGCGATAACATGCCCAAAACTGTAAGCTGATCAATTTGTTAAGATAGCTACCAATTGTATTTATTGTGTTAACAAGTCCAAGGATTTCATTTCCACATTCTCCGCACGATTCTATTTCGACAAATTGTCTATCTTTGACGGCATCGTCGCCAAGTTTTTTTAGAATGTTATATGCAAAGGATCGAAGGTTGGGTAGAGACATAGAACCAAATAAATTTTATATAACAAATTTTCCATATATTTATATACCACACTCCTCCCGACTAATAAAACCAATTTCGGATTTGGCGATCGGTTTTTTCATAAATTGTAATTACTTCGGCTCGGAATCGCTCAATATTTACAGGTAATCGTGCTAAAAAGCAAAGATTAACATTAATTTCGCAAAACAACGATGAATTAGCTTAGTCTCATGTGCATCTTACAAACGTGCCTTTTTTCATCACGCGTTATATTGGCAATAAGTATACATAGTAACGATTTACGATTCCTGGTTTGCATATCTCGTAATGATATGAAAACACCCAAAGAAATGACTCTTTAGGTCTGATTGCTTTATTGATCTACATGTGAGGCGGAAAAACTATCTATTGTAAAACAATGCCTCTTCGAGCCTAGCATTACTTTTTGACGAGCTTTTTGATTCTAGCCC